TCACTTGTTGGGAGTACAAATGTGTCATCCCCCACTTGACTAACTCCCCGAGTAGTACCACAATCTTAGCACGTTTTTGGCACTGTTCTAACAATAGACCTTTGAATGGAATATGGTAATAACCTCCGTAGAACAAAGAGCCGTACTTGATCACAGTGACAACTAAGCCGGTGCAAGTAAAACTTGCTTTACGTGGAAATCATCAGCAGATATGGCACTAAAAGTTGGTTATATAGACTCACCAGGCTTTATAAAAGATGAACATGTGATTGTCTGAGGTATAGATGCTATAATAGAATGCAAAATTACAATAAAATGCAAAATTACAATAATATGCAAAAGCAATATGCAATTATTGACACAATAATTCACTAACATATACAATTATTAACTAGAGTTCACTACTATATGCAATGTCCATGATGTCCTAACAACAGGACTGTGCTTCGGCGTTGCTAAGGTAGTAATGTCACGACGTGTTGTTCAGCAATGTCGACGTCCACGCACCGTCACACACATCACGGTCACGCACTCATAACAAATTCAGGCATAACATGCTTTCGTTGAAATCTTGATAAGCAAATTCACGGAACGTAGATTGTTCATTCACTTTCTTTACGATAAGAGGTACACTCATTGACGATATACACAATATATATGCGGAATACACAATGCTGTTGACAACGTACACAGCGCGAGGCATTCACAGTATCGACACTTGTCGACGATGGTAGCTTTAACACTAAGAGGTACTCACGGTAATGTCACTCATCAATAATCTTCATGATAAAGAAGTACTCACGACAATGTCATTCATAAATGATTAACAAACTAATACAAACTTCGTATGTAAACACTGCCACTTCCGGATTCGCAGACAAGTAGTCTCACGGATAATCATTCTATGCAATTCGGAGTGATGCCGTCTCGCAGTTTAAGTACCCACAACTTCAGTCAAGCAACTTTCCAATGATGAAAGTGCTCCCTTTAGTCAGTGACTTTCAGTTTTTACCACCGTGTCCCAACGTCAGTGAATTGTTCTCTTTTCCCGCATGGTTTCCTTTCACCCCTTGTGTCAATTCGCGAGCGCGTGACCAGTATCTCAAATTGACTGATGTGAATGAATCATGCGATTATAAGGAGAATAAACAGATCAATTAGAACAAATAACAAGTCATTCATAAATGTGACAAATAAACACTGGGCATGGCAAAATACAATAAGAGCTATTTTCTAAGCCGCATCACATGCGCTCCTTGATAGCTAAGTGTAGAACTATTTCACAACTTGTACATATATATATATATATATATATATATATATATATATATATATACACCGTAATGACTATTAAACTGATTAGTCATATAACAGCGTATCCACTATGTCTTACAATCATAGAAATTACACATGGTAACACGTACATGAGCATTTACATATGTCATATATTGGCAACATTGGGCAATTACTTTATTTGCTAATTGACATATAAGTGTAACAAATTATGATATATATGTGGAATAGTGGTATAATATGCAAAGTAAAATCAGGATTAGACGCATTCATATTTGTTTTATACATTTGTGTTTGAATATGTGCTTGTAAAAATTATTACAAACATGCATATAATAGCTGATTATATTGAGATGCACGCTTTTAAATGTCTTTATTGTAATTTTGATCATGAGAAAACATTGTTATGTAAATAACATATAACATCATAGCCAAGCAAGAGATGGGTTATACTTTCAAATCAGTGGCAATGGTTTCCAATATTAATCTTGTTTGATTAAAAATCCATAGGCGTGGAATATATACTACATGCCCTGAATGTTATTACGCTGGGCAGTGTGATGAAGGTATTGAGAATTAATCTACAATGAAATGTATAGAAAGCATGTTTTCTGTCATCACTGGAAAGCCTATCATTTGCGTCATATTTAACATATATACGTACACAGCGTAAGGACTAATCGGTAAATGCAAACACAGTACACCATACGAGTCAAATCGTAATTATCAGGCAGGCAATGAATAGTATAATATCACAAATGTTGCCATTCACGTCAACCCGTATGTCTGTGGTTCACATTCATGAATTACGTGGCAACTTATACCAAGTGACACACGCACAGCATATCGCACACGAGACACGTATATCGCATTTAATATCTCACTAGCTTCCCATACAAAACGAATGTGTACAAAGTATTCGACATAAATGTTTGTAATTATCATTCGGTACAATATAACAATAACAGTGATAAATTGTTTTTATTAGCTCTGCTGTCCACTTTGTCGAGCGGAGCTTATCATATGAGTGATTGTCCGTCGGCGTCCGTCGTCGCCCGTCGTCCGTGTCAATGTTTTACGCTTTCGACTTCTTCTTGAAAACTACAAGTCTGAATGCTTTGATACTTGGTATATACGTACCTTGGGTAGACCTCTCTTAGATTTGTTCATTTCATGATGATATCTTCAATTCTCAAATTTTTGTCATTTTTGGTAAAAAGTGATATTTTCGATTTCTTTTGATATTAAATGTATAGCTACTATATGTGGACCTCTCTCATATTTGTTCATTTCATGGTGATATCTTCAATTATCTAATTTTGATAAAAATGTTTGTCATTTGTGATGAAAAATTATATTTTCGAATTCTTCTTGAAAACAGCAAATTCGATATATATATATATATATATATATATATATATATATATATATATATATATATTGATAATTTTCTAATGATATCTTCTGTTCTTTAATTGCAATGTGCACTGCTAACAGTGGATCTATCTCAGCCGACATGCTTCTTGTGACATTACAGACCTGCCATGGAAGAGAAAATACTCCCGAATGTTTTGAGTCGTACTAGAAACACGCCATTGGTGAGAATCAATAAACTCGGTATCGATGCTGTTTTGAAATGTGAATTACGTAAGTACCACTGATCTCAGTATTGGTTGCCTGATCCTTGATTAAATCAACTGCAGAATAATCACAAAGTTGGCCTTGCATTGAGTGCATTGACATCAGTGATGTGAGGTGATATGACACACATTGTCTGCATAAAACTATTGAAAATATGTTGTATTTTTAGAGAGCGCTTATGAAGTACAATAGGCAGAGTTGTAATCCACTCATCATTAAATCAACCAGCTATTGTTGTGTGGTAGACACTGTAGCTGACATTCCAAAATATGGATTACGATCTTTAAAATCATAGTATTGGCTTATTTGTGTTCACTATATCGCATTACGCGATACTCTGCCGAACATTAATTTTGATAATTTCATGGTCGTGAATTCAAATTGCGTGTTTTGTATTTACACAACACAATATACCTTTAATTTATATTTACCACCCCAAAACGACGACACTTAATTAATGATCATCAGGCGCATGCGTTGGAGGTATTTCACTTTCGGTTTATCAACGCACACATGATGCAATATGGAAAAAAATAGACATATATTTGCGACAGACACTACATTCTTTCTTTTAAAAGATAAACCACAGACCGCATCGTACGCGGGCTCCGAACAGTTTGATTCGTATCAGAAACTGAAATCGCGTCTTTCGATACAACATTTTACAGGCCATATAATTAACCAATCAGGGGGTCGTTAATTTTGGCCAATCATATGTGATATAAATGATTTGACCTATATACTCTTTATGTTTATTAGTTTTGTTGACTCTACGTAATAAACGCTGTTGCTGTTTCCTATTGGACTGGTTGTATCTGTTTGGTAATTATCGTCGAACCGCCTTCGAATACTACTGTTTTTTCATACTGTAATACACGTGAATTTCGCCGCACACGGCAGGATAGTGTTATCGGTGATATCACGTACACATAATTGTTCAAACGTGGTTGCAGTATTGTTTAGGATTAACAAATTGTACGTTTAGCGTATACATCATGAACATATATTACAGGCATTTTATAAGTTGTTTGCTAATTTATTTAGTAGTGGCAACAACTTTAACAACAATACTTTAACCTTGAGACACATCTCTTGTAATCACGTGATCATGCCAATGACTACATTGACTGACTGCATGTTTACTCTTCCACACTTTAAAGTTTTACTGTTGAGTTTGTAACATTTGGTAACAGGAGAATGAGAGAAGAGGACAGCGAGGCTTGACCTCAGCTGACGGTAATGAAGGCCGTTGAAGCAACAATTAGTTGGTCCGGCCATCCATCGAGGGTCCAGGCCCGAGGCGTATGATGACGTTTGCTAGGAGGGACGTGTAAAAGTGGTCCGGCCATAGCCGATATGGCTGGTACGGTTCCTACGGTCTTGCGGTTTAGCCGTAAGGTTTATCTGTAATGAACTAATGTGTATTTCTTTTGGTCGAACCTGGTATCTTCGTGTCAGTCTTATCAGCCGACCAAGTCAAAGTTTACAACAGAGAGTTCACAACAATAGAATGTTTGAGGTAATGGAGGTAATGGTAATAGATTCATCAAGCAAGACACAAGACGATCTTCAAACTTTTATATCAAAGCTATCAATAACTATGCCGCCGACTGATAGCAGATACGTCTTTATTGTTAGCTTCAGAATTATAAAAAAAGATGAAGGGTTGTCTTCTTCAACATGCTCGAAGTATTTCAACTTAAGTGGGAACCGTTTCGTTAAGATTGAAACAGTAGTAACAAAATAATAAATACACCGACACATCTACGAAAACCGTTTACGTTGCTATGCGGAAAATCCAAGCGAGAATGGAATTTGTTTTAATTACTATGTCAAAGCTATCTCTGAACCCAGGCCAATTAGCGACCATTGTCAATGCAGTATATGCATAGAGACAGCACATTTCAAGGTCTTCAGAACCCTAATATGGGAATGCGATGCAATGTGTAATCGGGAAAGTGTTCACAATTTGTATTGTATCCACAGACTGGCATACTTATCAATATATTCATAAACTAATCAGTTCCTGTTTTTGAATTTATTATGATTGTTTTTATTTGTTTCAGTGGCTAAGTGTGAATATTTCAATGCCGGTGGAAAAAGAAAGAGTAGGCAGAAGAATGATAGAAGATGCTGAGGAAAAAAGATTAATTAAACCTGGTGACGTGATCATTGAACCAACAGCAGGGAATACAGGTACAAGTTCCATTATTGTCTTTAAGCAATTCCAGTTCGTTGTTACCATATGAGCAGTTTTAATATTATTTTCATTTTCTAATCAGGCTTTTTGGTACGTAAATAAATAAATTCATAGCTTACGAACTTTACACTGCCAAGTTGCGATGACTATGGTATTTTGTGTGAACGTGTCGGATGGTTGTATCCGATTTTGCTTTCATTTGTTAAGAATAGCCACATACTCGTCATCACCAATAGCCACATACTAATATGGGGTTATTTCGAGGATACTGCAAAATATGCTTAAAGGCAGTACAGCAGGAGTATCGACCGACGGGCTACGAAGGTTGATGCGATCGTGTGATATCTGGGTGCATACTTTGTTGTATCCTCGTAATAAGCTTATTATTATACATCTTTTCCTCCCAGGAATACATCATAGGAATGCCGAAATCAAAAACGTTTACAACAGTTTTAGCGAACTTCTTTCTGTGGGGTCTGGTCAAACCCTGGGGCAGTCCTGTTTTTGTTATTATTAGAGGACGATTACGCGCGTAATCGTTCCGTATTTGGAATTCGCTTTTCTAATATGGTATGATGAAAATACCCCGTAAAATACCACCAAATTACAACACGCTGTAACATATGGCGTTACGGTGACAGATGTATAATAATGTTATTCAACCCCACCCCAATTACCCTTACCCATTCACTACTTTCAATTACTCACCATAGACTCCGGTCAGTCAAAATGACTATTTTGAACTGTAGACATTAATCAGCGATTCTGCCAATGACGGAGAGATAAAATCTAGGTCATGACCCCAAGATTTTTGTTTTCTTACGTCACGAACAACGTGACACCTTGACCTTCACTCTTTCTTTATCTTCGTATCAATGGGGATGAAGTCTAGCGGCTCTGCCTGGATAGCCTGCATTTTCCTGTCTGCGGCCAGCGGTAGCCAACACTGTGGCTGGTAGAATAAGTTTTTCTTATTTCCTTCCCCCCGTGTTGATTCCCCCTTTGTATGTATAGTTTTTCAAAACAAAGAAAATAAAACCCGGCGACACAACTTAACCACGGCGTTGGTTTTTGTTGTGTCACCTTTTCCAACTGTATTTAGCTTCCCTCATGCATGTTGTATTTATTTTCTGCTTTAACAATGTATTTAGAAATGGTCCTGTTGATAATACGGACAAACATGGTTCTGTGACCCAGGTCGTGCTCCGATCAGGTGACTCTCAGCCAATCAATGATGTTGTAACAAAGCATATTTGACGCTAATTGAAGGGTCGTCGTACAATCCAATCACCGGCGTCGATTCACATAGTTTTTTGTGCTGTGACAGGCTTCAAAATTATTCGCTGAAAAACATATATTTTGACAAACTGATGGAATTTGACCTTAGTTCAAAAGAAAATACTAGGCTAAGATACATTAGAGTTCACGCGAATCAGTTTTCTCTGCAAGCTGTGAAATAAAGTAAACCAGAGTAGCGTCGATGATTTTCAGCCCTGAAGGACTTCCGTGTGAATCTCGAGTTTTGAATTGTTCATCGACTGGCCACCAAATAGTTATGGCTATAACTAAATTTGACACGTTTTTCTTTTAAGCCCAATAAATTATTCATACATGTCAAGCTCTGTTCGATTTTTTCAGGGCATGTGGCCGTTTTTAGTCGAAAATATTTTTTGTGGGAACACTTTTGCGGTACGTATACAGTATAGACCGAGCTCATTCAATGATCGTGACTTAATTTTAAAAATTTTATGTCAAATTTTACCAGACGTGGACCGATGTGGATTCGGTATCGTTATTTTTGGAATTAATCACTAACATTTCCTCGTTTCTCTCTGCTCTGTCAAAAGGAGTTACCTAGGCTTTTACATCTACAGTTTGTATATTACATCTAGAACAAGCACCCAAAACACGTAACAAGAGGTCCCAGTTCAGTTGCTTTCACGATACAAGTGTCATACAACTACTAGATTTGAAGTGTCGTACATAATTTAATAATAGTTAATACTAGTTGTATGTTCACACTTTACTATCAAAACCACCATTTCGACCACCCATGTGCCAGTTTTCAGTGTTTGGGCGAGCGGTCAATGTTTTCAATGAGCGAGCGAGCGAAAAAAAAAACGCGATTAAAATGCGGTCG